CATCTCAGTTCTCATGGCAGAGGCTGACAGCGACCATCCCTTGCGCAGCAGTTGAAGAAGAGATTCTGTCATGTACATGCTAACAGAACTATACTGAAACACAATGACATGGCACAACCATTGTCGTCTGGAGGGTCACCCTCACCATCGGCGGCAGAATCTGTCCTACTATCTACACAGGCAAAGGGATTCTGCTCGGCCATGTTTAGGGGAGGCGGGAGAGTCGGCCAGATTGATCCCCAGAAGTTGTAGAGCTTACAAATGTACATCCACATACCCTTCCGGATTGACCAGCCAGATCAAGTCGGATTCTGCAACTCCGTGATAGTAAGAGGTAATACTGCACCCTACCGCCATTATCCCATGGGTACACGAATTATACTCAAAAGGTAACGGCACCAAAATGACCGGGGGGATGCAGGATGCACTAGCGAATATTCGGATCCATATCAGGCATATAATTCTGTGGAGCAGGCTGAGGTTGTAGTCATATCTTTCCATACATGCCATAGACAGTAGCTCTGTTCATGCCAGCCGCAGTACTGTCATCCGCTGGGCAGATGGCACAGTGCTCCTCTCATATCCGGTGGACAACGTCTGCAAAATCAGAAACAGTGTAGGAGTTGCAATCTAGGAGGTTCACAATGGCATAGTACGCACATTGGCCTCGTTGTAGCACACACTATATTGAGATCATTTGATTCAGCAGATTGCACTGCAGGCGGAGGTTCATTCTGGTTTTGGTAGTCCCTGCCAGGCTCTTCTGCCTATATCAACTCAATTGGCTCTGGCATGTGTTCCAGACCAAGATCATCTCTCCAGTTTGGAGTGGGAGAGCAATCGGGGCGAGGTGGAGTAGAGGTGGGGGGTCAGATGCAATGGCAAAAACTGAAAAATTGGCTGCTAGTAGCTGTGATAATGCTGCACAGACGTGTTGTGGACTGTCGCCACAACAGCCCCTGTTCCACCCATATGAGTAGATCCAAAATTGCCGCAGCTTTGCCTCTATTGCACGCAACGAAGCAGTTGAGATGAGCCCAATGCAACAACCAAAAAGTTTTACCTCTATAGCGAGCAACACGAACCAGAACAGAGATCCGTTAGTTATATCCCTTGGGGTACCTCTTTTATTTGTTCTCGCAGTTATATCCCTTTCACTGTGGCTCTCACGTAAGGCCCACCACACCACATTGATTGTGGCTGAGCAGGAGCTGCCCACATCCCCGTCTGCCATAACGGTCCTTCCTGTTCATTTTCCCCCACCTCCTCAGCTTATATTTTTCTCACAGTTCTCTTAATGATGCTCATTCGTACGCATTAACTGGTACCCTCCTTCGTATCCATTTACTGGTTGTACACAGGCGGAGGGAGGAAGGAAAGGGGTAGGCAGAGGAAATCTATAGGAAGCAAGGGGCGAGGGAGAGAGAAGGAGGGAAGCGGAGGCGACAAGAACAGAAGAACCGAGGACGACACTCCAGACTACTCCAGAATGGCACAAAAAAAGAGGTCACTCAGTCTTTGGGTTGCAGGGAAGTATTTGAGTCGAGGAACAGGTGTTGCCTACGGTGAGCGGCCAGCCCTACAGACCGGACAGGACCGGTTCAGGTGTGGACTGTGGAAGCACCGCATCCAATTCTCACAGCTGCTGTCGCTTCGATGAATGGCACATCATGCACAGATGTCACAGACTACATGGCTCCTACATGCTAGGAACACAGGCACGCCAACCGCAATTGTATTAGCATGGCCGTTCCAGCACCTGTCTACAAATTGGACATCGCATGAGTGTGATGCCGACTGTCATCATACATCTTTGAAAAAAAAAACTTGCATGGGCTATTCCTTCATAATCCTCACAACACAACGCATGCAAATAATATGCTAGCTGAATCTCAGGCAACCCATCACAGAGTGGTACTGAACAGCCAATACTCCCTCTCTGTGGGCAGGCAACGATGGGGGCTGATCCAAAATGAGGGTGTTCAACTGTTGCAAGGCTCGGTCGCCAACAGCTTGCCCTGGCAGGGATAACCTTCCAGTACAGTGCAGTGCAGGTAGTGCATGCATCTGAGAGTCTATTCTCCACCTAACGCTGCTGCACCTGACTGCTGGTGCAGCAAGCGCAAGCCCCACGCTGCATGTGGGACATGCTAGGAAAGGATGTGGCGGGTGRTGGSATTGGGGRTAGTCCACACAGTAGAGACACAAACTTTCAACGACAGCTTCGTGGATGGAAACATTGAACAGACATAGCATGTTGTTGACATGCCACCATGGCATGTCAAGGCCACAATGGCATATCACGCAAGTATTAATGTGTGGGGGGAACGAGTGCACGACTACAGGTCGAAGTTTTCACTGCGGAGGCTGCAGTGACCACCCCTCCATAGTGTCCAGAGCAGAGCATGTCAGAGCCACCGTCCTCTGGAGGGGCCCATGGCACGGCACAGCCACCGTCCTCTGGGGGAGGGACCAATTAACTACACAAGGCAGAATCTGTCCCGTCTACACAGGGAAGGAACGGTGCCTGGCCTTGCGCAGGGAAGGGGGGAGGTTCAGACGGCTTGTTCTCCGGAGGCTGTAGAGCTTGCGAGTGCACATCCACACGCTGTTCCTGATTGATTAGCCAGACGGAGCGGGATTCTGCTGCTTCGTGATAGAAAAGAGTTAACATTCCCCCACCGTGTGCACCCTGCTGCCATTGTCCCACAGAGTCCATGAATTGTCCACACATGTAATGACACTGACATGATCCGGACGACTCAGGATGCACGCACAAATATTCGGGAGCACGTCTGGGATTTGAATCTATGGAGCGGGCCTGAGTTGCAGCCGTGTTCCCACATATGCCATACATAGGACTCCTATGTTCACACTAGCTGCAGTACTGTCATTCTCTCGGCAGACAGCACAATGTGCAAGATCAGAAACAGTGTAGGGATTCGACACACATTAATGTCATGGTCCGTGTAGTGGCCTTGCTGTACCGCTACGAGATCATTCAATTCTGGAAGGTTCACTTATATTTATGCAGATTGGATGGTGAAGGCAGGCTCAATCCAGACTTGACAATTGTCTATCAGGTTCCTCTGCCTGCATAACTTCATTTGGCTCTATCATGTGTTCTGGAGAGAGATCATCTAGAGTCCGGGGTTCCATCAAATGCTAAGAAGGTGCATCATTGCAGGTTGGAGCGGGGGAGCAATTGGGGCAAGGTGGATTAGAAGTTGGTAGGTCGAATGCAAGAAGCGGAAAGCTGATCAACTGCACTTGTACTCAGAGAGTGGCTGCAAATGCTGCATCCGGTGCACACACAGGCCTGCACCATCGGTCCATCGTAGAAATCATCGCCACATTGTGGGCATCGGACTCGGTCTGTAATATTCCTGGGTAGTGTGTATTGGGAGTGATGACGTCATTCCGTACAGTTGTGAGCATGGTGTCAGAGAAAACATCGGACCCCTGCCGGGGGCGTGATGATCATGCTGTGGATCATGCTGTTGATCATACTTCCAGGAGTGCCTCTGCTGGTATGATGCAGGCCGGTGGCCCACATCCCCCGCCGCCAGTTCAACAACATTTAAGTTTTCCGCTACGGCTGGCCTCACATTCCGGTACGAACAACAGGGGAGGGGGGGTGCTGTGGCCCACAGCGTGTGGCTGCGCAGAGGGATGATTCTGGCCATTGTGCTTTTTAATGTTTGCTTTATGGATGGGTTGTAATCTTACCGCACCCAGTGTTCCCCTCAACATGATGCCTGTCACCCTCACCTCCATGCGGGTGCATGATGCATAGGCTAGTGATTGGAATATACGTCCTAATAAAGAAGCCGTACAGGGAGCTACAGTCCAGTCACCTCCTCTCCTGCTGGAAGTGTCTTCGCACACAACCAGGTTATACCCTCCTTAACCCGCTGGAATCCCAAAAAGAGAGAATCAACGTCAGAATGCAATTGGGACGCTGTTTTGAAGCTCTTGCCACAGGGCTTCAACAATCTAGATGTCATATGGCGCATGGTTCCTCGTTCCAGTTCACATCCTACCCGTTCAGAGAGAGTTAAAATATGCCATCTCAAAGTGCACTGAGTGCATGGTCTCATTTTGCACTTCTCCTTCCTTGTCAATGGTTGCCGCAGCGATACACACCGTATCCGCGCCCATAACCTTCTTTTCCTTCTTCAGTGGCTGCAAATGCACCTCTTACACTTTCCTAAATTTCCCCATGCCTATGAGAATACACCTCAGCAGCGCAGAAACAAGCAGACCGGCAACGGAATAAGATCGATGGCGGTGAGACATCAAAGGCAAATTGTTGTGCCCGGTCTGCTACATTGGATGAGCGGCGGGCCCTGCGTGGAAGAATCCTCATGCCCGGTCTGTTACGTTGCCTCTTCCACAATGGCGAGGACACCGGGATCATCACGCCCTGGAGATTTGACAAATGACAGCCAGAATGCAATGACAATCTCTAGTCCACCTCACTGACCTCAGGACCGGACGAGTTTGATAATCAGCACCAGCACGTGGTTCAGTTCTACACAATAACAAGCACTCCCTGGGGAATATGGGCTCTTTCGACTTTGTACTCCTCAGCTTTTCAATTTTATATATATATAGCCATCGGCTGTAACTTGTGCAGATCACTGGACTCCAACCTGGCGCTTAACATGAACAGCCTGTTAGCCCTCGTTCTGAGCTTCATGCCCTTTTTTTTTCTTTTTTTTTTTTTCCCCTTACGAGGGCCATGTTAATCTTCTCCGTATCATTCCAATTTTAACGGATGTCCTACGGACACATAAGGGAATGGTGCTTCAGACCACCGCAGGGTGCACTGGTGTACAAGACGGCTGAAGGATTTATGCACTTAGCATAAAATGGACCCACCATTTGGGCCCTTGCACATAGCAACCCATGCAAGACCATGTTGCAGACTCTGTCTTCGGGGAAAGAGGGGACACATGGTAGAGTGACATGAAAGATGACATCGAAGCCCCAACTAACAGTTCTCAGCACAACAGCTGTACATGCCCACAAAGCACTCACAACAAGTGGCATGTGGGTCGCAAGCCAGGATAAAAGAGTAAGGGGCGAAAAGACCCACGCGGCTGCAGGTTACACCCCCTCAACTGAATTAACTGCCCGTCGCCCTGTGTGTGTGAAAAAAAAAAAAAAGTACAAGAAGTGAAAGGGAGCACACCGCCATCAACGGAAAGCAAGAGTTCATAATAATGTCTCTGGCCAAAAATCGGACATGTCTGGGTGCAGAGGGTCCACACGGTCAGGCAAGGAAGGGCGAGCTTCTGCACATATGGCTGCAGAGACCCTGGCAATACACCGATTCTGCCAGAGAGAATGACACCTGCAACCGAGCGTAGCAGTATCCGTAGCCATGCAGACAAGAAGGCCACAGACTCACAGAGTGTTGAAATGTTGCCCTGCTCCGGCAGAAGGGCAGTAAGGTGATCCTGAACACAAAAGATTTGTGTACGGGTTGCTGAGACACGAAAACATCATCATTTTTTGGCGCAATGGATAATGGCAACGTCAATCGACACGTGAACCATGCTTCTGCTGTCCCACGGCGCATAGTGTTCAGAGGCACGATCAATGACCGTATAATGGCCAGGTGCATGTTCAATGCAGACAGAGATGTGAGACACAGATAAAAAACACTCACCAGGCCGAGCATGGCACAGTTTACATGGATGGTCCCTCAGTGCCTTCGCTGGACCTCAATTGCAAAGTCTCCTTCCCTCAGAAGGTAATATTACTACCTTCTGGAGGTGAAGATTCAGATGCTGAGGTAAAATTGCCAGAGAGTCCGTCCGTATAAAGAGGATGCCAAAACTTTAAGGCGGTATGCAAACAAACAGGCTCGAAATCAGTAGAGCTGCGAGACCACAGAGATTAAGGACGTCCCCAGCAAAATTAGAGAACACGGATCACAAAGGTGTCCCGCATCCCAGTGAGTAAACCAGTGAGCAAGGCCAGGTACCAGAAAAACTGGCTAACAATTTTCCAAGTCGCCTAAGCGATGGCGGAATTTGGAATGTCCTGGAGTGTGTCCTGTGCCCTGATTTGAAGATCCCCCCCGCAGCCCGTTCCATGCAGGGCAATTTGCAAGTCGGCCAAGTGATGTTCTGATCCAGGGGGACACTAATCAGTTGAAACTTGAAAGTCCAACGAAACAGTCTGTCACAGTCCCCCGTTTCTTGTACTTCCTTTCCCTTCTCCTAACGGCGCAGAATGCAGTTTTCTGTGACGTGCGTAAAGGGAACACAAGCCATTACCCAGCTGTAGGGAACCAACCTCAGGACTGACTGCCTGTGTGATTGGAGAGCTCCTTCACAATGGGGACGGATGAAACAGTGAGATATTATGCAAAGAACTGGCCGGTACAACAAGGGAACAGAAAACCACTAGAACCGTACCTGGGCGAAATGCTGCCAGGACATGAGCAGGATATCATTTTCATCAAGCAATATTATTCACCACTGTAAACCTGCCGATTTCGTTTCTAATCTGGCGCCCTCTCTCGACGAGTGCAGTGGAGAACATGGGGCTGGGTGTCCTGTTCTTCTTCAAGGGCCTCGGCAGGCAAGAGACCGACGCGATTTTAATAAATGAAGCCTTCTTCTGCAGATCCTTTATGCCAAATGTGCATGCACGCACAGAGCCGAGGAACATGCTGATCATCATCATCACTGTCGTGCATGTAAAAGAATCAATCAATCTGAGAATAATACACAACACTGTGAAGTAAACACATCAAAAAACTGAGTTTCATCCATATACTTCCAAGGGGACAAAATATTATCCCCCTTATCTAATATCCCGAATGAAAAGGACAGCAGTCCTGATGACTCCTGAAAACCTGCCAATTTGCTAGCCTAACCACAAAAATCGCCAATTTCCAGATTCTGTATTTGGCGATCGATTGGACAAGCCACAACCAAGTCTCGGCTAATGTTCCAAGTAATATAGAACATTCCTGAGCGCATAAAACTCTGACAATAAGCTGTCACGTGGCAACAGATCACAGAACCCATCTCACCTTTGTATGTATACAAAAGAGAGAGAGAGAGAGAGAGAGAGAGAGAGAGAGAGAGAGAGAGAGAGAGAGAGAGAGAGAGAGAGAGAGAGAGAGAGAGAGAGAGAG